TTGATGACCTTCATAATTCTGGGATTCACATTTAGGTCCTTAATCCATGCTGAGTTGGTTTTTGTATAAGGTGTGAGGTGAAGGTCTTGTTTCAGACTTCTGCATATCATTTTCCAGTTCTGCCAGCACCATCTGTTGAAGAGACTATCCTCTCCCCATGGGACACATTTTGGTGTTTTGTTGAAGATCAGTTGGCTGTATGTAGATGCGTTAATTTCTGGATTCTCGATTCTGTTCCATTGATCTATGTACCTTTCATTGTACCAGTACCAAGCTGTTTTGACCACTGTAGCCATGTAGTATATTTTAAAATTGGGGAGTGACAGGCCTCCAACCTTATTCTTGTTCTTAAGCAGTGCTTTGCTTATCCTGGGTCTCTTTTCTCCTTCACTCTTGAGTGATAATTTGTTGTTGTTGTCGTTAAGTGTCATCGTGTCCCTTCTGACTCATCGCAACCCTGTATGGGGTTTCCTAGGAGTGGCTGGTAGGTTTGAACTGCTGGCCTTTGGGTTAGCAGTCCAGTGCTTACCCAAGAGCATCACATAAGACTCTGAGGATATACTTTAGGAAGAAGGAAACTGAATTCAGAAGGCAGATGCAGCATTCGAGAAGAACTAGTGGGTAAAGAAATTGGCAAATACGTGGTAAGTTTAAATAAGCATTGAGAACTAAAGTTATAATGATTATGAAGGGATATCAACAAAAATTAGGCTAAAATTAAGCAAAATGAAATCCTTGAGAAAATACCCTACGCTCCTTTGTTGGTGGTGGGTTAGGCATTGGGCTACGAACCCAAGCTTAGTGATTCAAACTCACCAGCTACTCTGAGGGAGAAAGAGGAGCTGTCTGATTCTGTGGAGATGAGGTCTTGGAAACCCTATGGAGTTGCTCTGCTCAGTCCTATAGGGTCGGGTCGTATGAGTCAGAATCAACTCAATGGCAGTGGGTTTGGGGTTTGGTTTACCATTTTAAAAATGTAAGAGTAGCTAGCCACAAAGAGAATAGAAAGAGATGGACTTTTGCTTCTAGCTATCACCCTCGGAAACCCTGTACAGGGTCGCTATGGGTCGGAACCGACTCGACGGCACTTAACAACAACAACAATATGGTAGATTAGGAGTTTTGAAAAGTGTTTGGGGCAAAACACCAACAAAAATATTTTTAAGTATAAATACTTTGAAATGTTTTACTGAATTCAAAAGAATGTACCTCTGCTGGACTTGGCCTAAAGGACTTGCTGACCTCGACCGGATCAACGGAGCCCTGATAGCACAGGGGGCTGCAAGTTGGACTGTTAACTGCAAGGTGAGCAGTTCAAATCTACCAGCCACTCCATCATGGGAGAAAGATGAGGCTTTCTGTTCCCATAAAGATTTACTGCCTCAGAAACCCTGTGAGTCAGAACCGACTCCACAACACACAACCATCAACCACCTCCACCGTAGGTTTAGCAGTTGAGAGGCAGCAAAAATGTGTGATATTCCAAAGTTTAGTGTTAGGGTGGGAGGGGGGATCCACCTATCAGCAAACAAACCTGTCTGCCTCACTTAGCATAGAATCAATTCTCTGCTGAGCATAGTGGGCCAGACAGAAAGCTTTAAAAAGCCCCACATGAAAAACAGTGGAGAATGTACAAAACGCTCACAAGCAAAGATGGAGCAAAGCCCGGCCCCTAATCCCTTTTAGAGAAGCAGGCTGGGCTCTGCTGGACCGCATGCATGAGAGAAAGAAGGCTGAGAGAAGGACCCCATCCCTGGAGAGCTAGACACATTTAAAGGGAAAGGGGACCAGGGAACATCTGGGCAACTGTGTAAGTGTGGGTGCTTCCTGGCCGTGTCCCCTCAATACATGGTTTGTTGAAGTTAGGTGCCGGCTCATGATGTGAGCCCCTGGTCCCGTATTGATGGGCCATTTGAACAACTCATGGGAGCCTGTTCAAGTCTTCGGTTTCCTTTTTCCTATTGGGTTGTCTTATTTTTCCTTGTTGGCTGTGGAACTCATACCTAGTCTCCATTTGAGTTCTTTGTAGGAATCCTGGTTGCGGCCTCTCCGTTGGAGAGATGCATTGTGGGTCTGGACCACTTCCCCTTGGCATTTCCATGTGTTTGCAGCATTTGTGTCAATTATTGTTCCGATGTTTACTGGCCGTCCGGACACCATCTTTATGACGTACCTAGTCAAGTCTGCTGTCTGGTTTCCTGTAGTCTGTGTGTATGCGGAATACAAGTTCTTTGTTGGATATGTTGTTGTTAAGTGTCGTCGAGGTTGTTCCGACTTACAGTGACCCTGTACGGGGTTTCCGAGGGTATGTGTAGTGCAGATATCTTAGAATTGCCTTGTTTTGTTTCCTGTTTAAGAAATCTATGCTTACTGACTACGTAATGGGCTCATTATAAAGGAGCACTTTGGCTGCCCAGGTATACTTTCAGCTGTTCTTTCATTAAGATAACTCTTACCCACAGAGCCCACTTCTGCCTAAGCTACGGAAAGAAGAAAGGAGACTTTAGGGACAGCTGGTTTTGCCTTTTCTCGGACCCCCTCGCTTATTTCCACGTGGGCTTAGGGTTCAAATGTAAAGGACTCGAACAGTCCAGAGCCTCCAGGGTAAGAAATTGAATCAAAGAGAGAGAGAGAAGTACAGGTCCACCTTGCCGATCTCTCTGGCTGAGGTCCAGACGACCACAATAAGGTCACAGGAAATTTGGGGGTTTCCAGGGCATAGAAAGAGTCTTGGTGTGGTGCCACAGGACAAGTACTTGACCACAAAGTCACTTTAAACCTCAAAGTTGGCGGTTCAAAACTCACCAGCCGCTCCTCAGAAACCTTACACAGGGTCGTTATGAGTTGAACCAACTCAAAGACACTTAACAACAACAAGGGCATAGTATAATTGCTTACACTGCACTGTATGTAGTCTGTTAAGTGTGCGAGGTGAAATGTTTGAGATGTGACAATGAGTAACATGTGGCAGTCTCCACAAGCCTTCAATTTGTAAAAACCGCCATGTCTGGGAGGCACCAAGAAGAAGGTAAACTTCTGACGCCTGACCACCCGGGCAGGCCTCACTGGGCTCTGTGGGCCACGCCCTCTAGCCCGCCCACCCCTCCAGCTGTCTGCTGGGGTGGGCAGAGGTGGAAGGGGAAGCAGGTGGGTGTGAAGGCAGAGCCCTGCACTGGCCTGGGAGCTGCAGGCTGCGATGGACAGGATGGAGGCCCAGGCAGCTGCCTCAGAGGTGGGTGATGACCAGGTTGACTCCCAGAAAGCTGACTGCCCTGCGCTCTGCCAGGCCTGGGACCACAGCCAGGCCCTCATGCTGAGCAGGACAGGAAGTGGGGATGGAGCATCCTCAACGTGATCCCTGCCAATTGCAAGGTCCTGAGGCCGCCCACCAAGGGCTGCAGGACTTGGCTTCCCTCAGAGGTGTCAACACAGCCTGGAAATGCCACCACCGTGGTCATTCTCTCCAAATGACTGGTCCTGTTATAGATGCTGGACACGGGGGACACCCATGGGGAATGGCCTCCCAGACCCCAATGAATCTGTGGGCGGTGGAGTTGGTTGATGGAGGGGTGATGCTGGGGCTCTGTGGCCCCAGGAGCTACCTTGAATGAGTCCGGAATGGGGGACATCTTGGGGGTCCAAGACTCCTTCCCCATACGGTATAGGAAAGGCTGAGAAGCAGTCTCTCCAATGATGTCTCGGGGCACCTTTGCCTGATCCCCGCCCAGGACACCACATGGCTGCCTCCCGGGGAAAGGGAAGGAGTAAGCCTGTCACTGTGCTGGTGGGGGGCCACCCTTAGTTATCCTGGGGGTGCCCTGGGCTGTGCTAGGGGGCCACCCTGAGCTACACTGGGAGGGACGCCTTGGGGAGCAAGGGGTGTCTGGATCTTGCCTACACTCTGTCTCTCTAGTAGTTTTTGAGGGACCCATGCCCTGGAGTCCTGGTATGGCTCTGTAGGATAAACACTGGACAGCTAACTGCAAAGTCAGTGGTTCAAATACACTAGCTGCTCCTTGGAAACCCTATACAGGGCTGCTATGGGTCAGAGCTGACTTGACAACACTTAACAACAATGATGCCGGCTACCACTCTAGAGATCCAGGTCCCCTAACCCTGAGCTGCAGGTGCCCACACCTTGGAAGGCCTTAGCCCTGACCTGAAGGACACAGCTCTAGAGGAGTCCAGGGCCTTGAGGCTGAGCCGCTGCCGCTGGGTTGAATGCCTGGTAGTTCCAGACCACAACTCACATCCTCAGGCCGGGAGGAGGGGACTCAAGTCCCTGATGGCCTGAGTTCAGGACTCTGTGCCCTGTGGTGGGTCCACAGTTCATGAGTATGATAGGGACTATTTCCCAGACCACAAGGCGGAGGCCTGTCCCACCCACACCAGTCCCTCGGGGGGGGGGGGGGGGGAGCATCTTCAGGACAGGAAAGTGGTTATTTATAGATCTGTGCTGAGGGGCCCAGCAACGAAAGCAGAAACTGTTTTCATACTCTTTCGTTGTGGTTGAAACAAGGAACTGAGATTCAGATATGCAAACTTGAAAAGGAGATGGAGTGGATGATTTTCTTAAGTAGATTCCACTCATGGTGCCCCGTGTGTGTCAGAGTAGAACTGTGTCCACAGGATTCTCAGTGGATGATTTTTCATAAGTAGATCCCACTCATGGTGCCCCGTGTGTGTCAGAGTAGAACTGTGCCCACAGGGTTCTCAGTGGATGATTTTTCGGAAGTAGATTCCACTCATGGTGCCCCGTGTGTGTGTCAGAGTAGAATTGTGCCCCACAGGGTTCTCAGTGGATGATTTTTCATAAGTAGATCTCACTCATGGTGCCCTGTGTGTGTCAGAGTAGAACTGTGCCCCACACGGTTCTCAGTGGATGATTTTTCATAAGTAGATCCCACTCATGGTGTCCCGTGTGTGTCAGAGTAGAACTGTGCCCCACACAGTTCTCAGTGGATGGTTTTCTGAAGTAGCTCCCATTCATGGCACCCCCATGTGTGTCAGAGTAGAACCGTGCCCACACAGTTCTCAGTGGATGGTGTTTCTGAAGTACATCAGTAGACCTTTCTTCAGAAGCACCTTTGGTTGGATGTAGCTGCCAGACTTCTGTTAATAGCCGAGTTGTTAACTGTCTTCATGGCCCACAGACACTCAGGAAGGGTCCAGTCACTTCAGGGTCTTTGTGAAGGCTGCCCCCCAAAAGTCCGGGCTGACGGCTGCAGGGTGGAGTCTCAGAGGAGTTCCAGTGGTGCCAGTGTGGTCAGGCCATCTCATGCTGGTGACATTGGCTGTCCCTTGCAGGTGGCACTGAAACCTCCTTAGAGACCCCTGGGGACCCCCTCCTGGCCCTGCTCCATACCCCACCCACAGGCCAGTCAGGTGGAATGGGAGTCTTGAGGGAGAAAGAGTTAGGGAACAAGGCCCCACCACCTCACAGGGTCTGTGGGCCCTAACCCAGTTGGTCATGGAGGCTGTGGTGGGCACAGGGCACTCTGACCAACAACATGCCTTGGCCACAGAGTCTGGGAGGTGGGCAGTGAGTATGTGGCAGCAACATCAGAGGAGACCCCAGCCACCCTGATGGTCTCCCATGTGAGGACACCATCTCCCACCCCAGCTATGGCCTCTCAAATAGCTGCATCTCCCCGCTGAGCACCAGCGTCATCCTGTCTCCATTGCAGGTGCTGAGGGTCCTGGCTGTGCTGAGCTTGGGGATGTTGACTCTGGCTTTACTTCTATGGCAAGTTCCCTGTCTCCCTACCTGGGACCAGAGTCACCCTGAGGAAGAGCCCTCTGGGACCTCAGGCAGTGGCCCCCACCTGGCCTGGGAGCTTCGGGGAGAAGAGGCGGGGCCCAGACTGCAGAAGGAGGAGAGCCAGTGAGTGGGTCTGGGGGTCAGTTCCAGGCCTGCTGCCCATGCTCCCCATACTCCCCCCAAAGCCCCACCCCCTCCTCTGCCCAAGGCCCCCATTATGCACACCTGGAGGCAAGCTGCTCCCTCTGGGGCAGGAATAGCAGACCCATCAGCTCCTGTCTTGTGAACAACCCTCCAGGCCCCCAGGCTGCCTTTCAGCTGCCCTACCAGCCACGTTCCCAGACACACTCACTCCAGGGTGTCCCTTGCCGCCTGACCCTGTCCAGTCTGTTCGACGTCCTGACCCCCATCCTGATGGGTAAGGGTTCTCCTGAGCCAGTCCCCTTTCCCTCCGCAGACTTGTCCTGGTGGAGAGCTGCCCCCAAGACCTGCTTGTGCTCGGTCCGGCGGCCCAGTCCCTGGCCCAGGCCTGGATGGGGCTCCTTGACGCCGCTCAGGAGAGTGTCCATGTGGCCTCCTACTACTGGTCCCTCACAGGGGCTGACATCGGAGTCCACGACTCTTCCTCCCATTTGGTGCGATCCCAGTCCCTTGCCTGCTGCTGTGAGGAGGGAAGGGTTAGGTACTTCCTTTGGGGGCTCTAGGACAGGTGTCCAGAGACCTGTAGGACAAATCACTAGATGGCTCTCAGTCCCAAGTGCTTGTCTGCTGTTGAACTGGGTGTGGTTGGACCTCCAGAGGGAGGTCTGGGGCTTGGTGAGGGGCTGTGAGGCAGGGGGCCAGTGGGGTCATCCTGGGGACCCAGTGCTGGACGGACAGCCCTCACAGCTGACCTGGTCCCATAGGGAGAAATGCTGCTGCAGAGACTGTATCAGCTGCTGGACAAGAACATATCTCTGGCCGTGGCCACCAGCAAGCCGACGCTGGCCACCAACTCCACTGACCTGCAGGAGCTAGTGGCCCGGGGTAGGTGCTTATACGTCCCTGGCCCTTGGCACCTGGAGAAAAGGACAGAGAAAGGAGGGCCCAGGCGGGAGGCTGAGAAGGTGCCCTCCCTGTTTCTCCCCAGGCAGAGCCCCTTGGTCTGTTCACACAAAAGTGGGCTGGTCCTAAGGAGCTGGGATGTCATCTCCATGGGGCGGAGATGGGGGGTGCGGTGTCAGGCTGGGATCCTCACTGGGGGCAATCATTACAAAGTCGAGCTCTAGAGCCAGGCTGCCCAGAGGTCCTGGGCCAGTCACCTGGAATTCACCCCAATTCCTACTCATAGCGACCCCTATAGGATACAGCAGAATGGCTCCGAGGTTGTCAGTCTTTACGGGAGCTGACTGCCTCATCTTTTTGGAGAGGCTGGTGGGTTTGAACCACCAACCTTGTGGTTAGCAGCCCAATGCGTAGCCCTCTATACCTCCAAGGGATCCCCTGTTGATAATGTTCTTACTCATAGTAACCCTATATAGGGTTTCCAAGGAGTGGTTGGTGGGGTTGAACCGCTAACCTTTCAATTAGCAGTCTGGTGCTTATCCTAGTGTGTCACCCCAGAACTCCCGTGCTCCCCCAGCCACTTGTAAAGTAGGAGCCATACTTTAGTCCACAGAAGGACTGAGAATATAAATGTCAGCCCACGGTAAGAGCATCGGACATATGCCTTCAATCAGCACTCAACACAGCCTCTTGTCTCCTGAACCTCGGCCAGGTGCCCAAGTGCAGCATGTGCCCATGGGGCGGCTCACCAGGGGTGTTCTGCACTCCAAGTTCTGGATCGTGGACAAGAGGCATGTCTATGTGGGTAGCGCCAACATGGACTGGCGGTCACTCACGCAGGTGAGTTCAAGGCATGGAGGGCAGACACCTGGAGCAGTCAGCATCCTGGGGGGTTTTGGATGTGGAGAGCCGTGTTTCCGGTCTCCGTGGTGGAGCCAATAGGAGGCTGGGTAGACAGAGGAGTACCACTCTACGGCCGCTGATGTTGGCTGACCTTTAAGCCATAGGGAAAGGTGTTCCAGGGAAACATGCAGATTACAAAGCATGAGTCCTTTTAAGAAATCACCGTGCAGTTAAAACATGTCGAAGGGTGATGGTGGACGTGATGGCCCTGTCTTTGCTGAGAAATTAAGTGACTCCTCTGTTCTGACAGTCAGACTACAGTGTCATTCCAGAACACCTCCAGAAGCTCCCTGTCTACTCCCACAGGTGATGCTGTATGGGGGTCTCTGCTAGGCTGTATGCCCCCCCCCACTATGCCTGGTTGGGATGGGGAGTCCATACAGCTGCCCGCCCTGGTCCTACAGGTGAAGGAAATGGGTGTGGTCATTTACAACTGCAGCCGCCTGGCCCAAGACCTGGAGAAGACCTTTCAAACCTATTGGACGCTGGGTGCACCCAAGGCTGTACTCCCCAAAGTCTGGCCTCAGAACTTCTCGTCCCACATAAACCGCTTCCAGCCCTTCCGGGGCCACTTCAAGGGGATACCCACCACTGCCTACTTCTCGGTGAGCCGTCAAGGAGGGGCTGAGTGGCTCACTCTTTTCCCAGGCCCGTCCCAGTCTCAGGGTGCCAACACTGTCCCACCTGGGAGAGGGCAGGCAGGCTGGCTGGCTGGCTGTCAGCAGGCCTTCCATGATGCATGCTCATCTCCCAGGTGGGAGGTGCTCTGGGGAGCCCAGTGGTCCTAAGGGTCGGGTTGGAGCAAAGGGGCTCGACTTAAGGACCTGCTGGGGAGGACTGGAGACCCCTCACTCAGGGTGAGCCAGATACGTTACCCTCCTCCATGGGAGCACAGAGACCGGGGCAATCCCCACTACCAGTCCTCCCAGAGTAGAAGCCTCTTCTCAGGGGCAGCGAGGCCTCCCTTTTCCTCCACTTCCCAGACCACTTTGTCCCGAGTGTGGGTGCATGAACCCAGTCTTCACAGAGCCTTCCCGGCAGGCCTCACCGCCCGCGCTCTGTCCCCACGGCCGCACTCCGGACCTAGATGCGCTGCTGGCGGTGATGGGGGAGGCCCAGGAGTTCATCTATGCATCGGTGATGCAGTACTTCCCCACCACCCGCTTCAAGCACCCCGCCAGGTGCAGAGCCAAAGACCCGGACCTGAAGGCGGGGTCTGGGGCCTGGGGGTGGGGCTAGGGTTTGGAGGCGGGGCCGAGGCCTGGGGAGGTGCTACGGCCTGGAGGCGGGGTCTGAGGCCTGAGGGTGGGGCTAGGACTTGGAGGCGGGGCTTAGGTTCTAGGAAGGTGCTATGGCCTGGAGGCGGGGTCTGGGGTGGGGCTAGGGCTTGGTGACGGGGTCTGGGGCCTGGGTGTGGGCCTAGGGTTTGGAGGTGGGGTCGAAGCCTGAGGTGAGGCTATGGTCTGGAGCCAGGGCCTGAGCCTGGAGGCGGGACCTGGGGTAGGGCTAGGCTTTGGAGGCGGGGCCGAGGTCAGGGGAAGGGCTATGGTCTGGAGGCGGGGCCTGAGTCTGGAGGCGGGGCCTGGGGGTCCGTCCGCCCTACTAACTGGCTGCTCCCTGCGGTTGCTCACCAGGCTCTGGCTCTGGCTCTTGGCAGGTACTGGCCAGTGCTAGATAATGCTTTGCGGGATGCAGCCTTCAGCAGGAGGGTCCACATTCGTCTTCTGATCAGCTGTTGGCTCAACACGGACCCCACCATGTTCTCGTACCTACGATCGCTGCAGGCCTTCCGCGACCCCTTGGCTGGCGTCTCCGTGGACGTGGTGAGGGAGCTTCCTGGGGTGGGATGAAGCAGGGAAAGCAATTCCTCCATCCTCCTACCACCTGACGTCCTTGCCTGTGTCCTGAAGAAAGTATTCATCATGCCGGTGGGAAATCACTCCAACATCCCGTTCAGCAGGGTGAATCACAGCAAGTACATGGTCACAGAGAAGGCGGCCTACATCGGTGAGCGAGGGGCAGAGGGTCGGGGGGCCTGCCAAGGGCGGCGTAGGGGGCCACACCCCAGGCCACACAAACCCTCAGAGGGAACATGTCCCCAGGGCAGCGACAGGCAAGGGTGGGGGAGGGGAGGGGAGGGGGAAGGGGCAGGAACACTCAGTGCTGAAGGGGTCGGGGTCTCTAGTGACGCTCTGGGTTACCAGCCGTCTGTTAACTGACCACGCTGGACAGGCTGGGACAGCCTGAACATCTGGTACCCAGAACGAAAGCCAAGCCATCTGTGCCCCCAGGCCGGACTGGTCCTCAAGGGGACAGGGGTCGGGCTCCAGGATGCCAGGGGCGGGTGAGCCCAGTGACAAGCGTGCCTTCCCCGCCTCCCAGGCACCTCCAACTGGTCTGAGGACTATTTCAGCAGCACCTCGGGCGTGGGCCTGGTGGTTAGCCAGAAGGCTACCGGCGCCCAGCCAGGGCCCCCCACAGTACAGGAACAGCTGCGGCAGCTCTTCGAGCGGGACTGGGAGTCCCCGTACTCGGTAGGCCTGGATGAACAGGAGCCGGGCCAGGACTGCATCTGGGGGTACTGAGACCACCCTTCCAGCTCCAAGACCCTGCGCCTCAACGCCCACCGCCCCTCCTTGTCCTAGCCTGGGCCCCCAGCTCCTCCTGCCCAAGGCTTCTCAACACCCCCCTCGGGGGCTTTGCAGCACTGTTTGCTGCCCTTTGTTCTCCAGCTGCACCCCTTCTGAGCCTTACCTCCCCCTGGGCGCTTTGACTAAAGAGACAGAACTCCTCGTGTGTCCTGACCGTGTCCTACACTCCTTCTCAGCCCCAGGCTGCCGGTCCCCTAGAACCCTGCTCCCGGCAGTCTCCAGGCGGCCTCAGGTGCTAAGTGGGGCCTGCTGGAGGGCGGAGTCTGGTGCTTAGGGGTGGACCCCGGACTGGTGGTGGGTGGAGAAGGCCTGTGTCTGAGAGGCAGGGGTTAGGCTATGGGCATCCTGGGACCCAGCTGACCTTGGGTTTGGCCAGCCCTTGAGTGAAGGCGGTGGGTTAGCACCTGGTCTGAGACCCCAGGGCCCACCTGCCCAGGAAGAGATACTCTGGCCCGGCTTCCTGGTGCTGAAGGGGTACCATCTGCCAAAGAGCTCCGTAGGCAGACGCAGATCCTCTCCCAGGGTCTTGGAGTAGTCTTGGCTCTCTTGCCCGCTCTCCCTAGCTCTCTCTGCTGGGCCCAGATGGGTGCAGGCCTCGGTGCAACTCCCGCTGTGTGAGCCCCTCCCACACTTCCCACGTGGAGACCAAGCTTTAGGTTTCCCGCCCATCCTGTGGAGTGTGCTGGGAAGTGGGGTACCCAGCAGCCCTGGCCCCCGCCTTAGTGAGCTGCACCCCTCTAGGCTCCCTAGAGCCCCTGCCTGCGTCCCTGCCCCTCCTCCTCCCAACCCACATGTCCCCAGGAGCAGACACCCCCTCAGAGCCCAGTTCTACCTGCAGAGCTGCACAAGTGGGTTTGCTCTAGTCCCATACTGCCCACATGCCCACAGCCAGTGCCAGGAGGCTGTATACTCTGGCCCGTGCCTCACCCCAGATAGGCATTAGATGAATGTTTAGAGACCAGATTCTCAGTGGCAGCCTGGAAGGTTGCTCCAAGGAGACCTCCCAGCATGATGAGGTTTGGGAGGCTCGATGGGGTGGTCCCTCCCAGAGTGCCCCTGACAACCACTCAGATGCCTCAGTGGGCCCCAGCTCCTGGGTTCAGGTCTTCCTGTCACCTCTGCCCTGACTACGGGTCAAATCTTCAACTTGCTTGTCACCAACAGGAGACAGCCAGGTGACAATATGTGATTTTACTGAACAATAAATGTAAGGATGGGGGCAGTGTGGTGCACAAGGCCACTATGAGCTAGAACTGACTCAGTGGCACCTAACAATAACAACAAGATTGCATTTCACCGAGCTAGGAGACAGTCCCACCCCCCACCCCCACTTGCTTTGAGGTGTTAGACTGTCCTATAGAGAGGTCCATGGGGCAGGGAACAGGGTCTCTCTGCCTCCAGCTGGCAGGAAGCAGAGACCCTCAGCCCTGCAGCCTGCTGGGCTCGGAGGACTGCTGACATCCACTCAGGCTGGTGACCGACCTTCGCCAGTCGAGCCTGAGCAGAGACAGCGGCCCCGGCAAAACGGTGTGCGCTCTTACACTGCTGGTGTGTGGTGTGGTGTTGTTACACAGCATAGGTGCCCTGGACCAGGATGCTTCAGGAAGTTGGGGGGGCACTCCACCGCTCAGCAACTCCCCCATGTGATATGAGCAGCTACCTCCTGACCTCTAGGGCCCACTACCCAGACCCCACAACTCCCAGATTCAGAGAGAAGAAAGGGTCCTGGAGCCAGGCAGCCCAGACATGAGGGGGCGCTCTGCAGACTCCTCCCTCGTGACTGCCAGCTCTGCGTCTTCACTTTCCAGAAGACCCTCACTGCCCATCCAGTGGCCCTCCCAACCAGCTACCGAAAGACACCACTTTCCCATGGTGGAACCCTGGGCTTCTGCTTTCTGGGCAGTGTCCTGGGGGGGGGGGGGTCTCAGGGCAGCCCCTAAAGTGGGCAAGCTCCCCCTGTTCACAGTCCCACAGAAAGCTCATGGCAGGCTCTCGATCCCACATCCACAGCCCTGAGAGCTGGTCGCCGGCAACCAGCCAGGCCCAGGGTGGGATTTGACCCCAGAGCGGTTGTAGAAAACTTCTGGAAGCTCACTCTTCTACCTACTGTGGGATTTAATTTCCCAGCACAGCCCAGAAGGAGGGTCATTGTGATGAAGAAAGCATCGGAGGACGGTACCAACGTCACCCCTGGGGTCACTGTCCACCCCCCACCCCACCCCCCACCGTGCCATCATAACTCTGTACGGTCCCTGTCCCGTTGTGTGTGTCTTTGTGTCCCTTGGTGCCTGTCTGTCTGTCTGTGTTCATGTTTATGTGTGTGTCCCTGTGTGTTCGCGTGTCTGTGTGAGTGTGTGTCTGTGTGTAGGTGTCCTGGTGCGGCGCTATGGGCTAACGCGCTGGACTGTAAAGTCAGTTTGAACCCTAAGGTTGCCAGTTCAAGCTTACCAGCTGCTCCTTGGAAACCCTATAACAGGGTCACTGTGGGTCGGAACTGGCTTGACAACCCTTAACAACAACAGCAATGGTGTGTGTGTGTGTGTGCATGTCCCTCTGTGTGTTCCTGTCTGTGTATCTGTCTGTGTGTGTGTCCGCTGACAGACAGTGAGCTCTGAGGGCAGGGCCGGCCATCACCCCTCTGTCCATCTCGGCCCCTATGGATAGGAGGCCCTGTGAATACTATGCATCCTCTGGGTGAACGATGACTATGGCATGACACTGTGGACCATTTTCTAGAGCAGCTTTGTATAAGTCCTGGATGGGGGAGGGGAGGGGCGAGAGGGGAACTTGAGGACTTGGTAGTCACTCGTGAGCTTCAGGGCCACCTTAATTCCCTCCCCGAAGAGCAGACAGCTGAGCCTGTCCTGAAGGCGGGCTTTGTCGTGCCCACTGAGGGCTCAGGAGTGGCAGACAGGTGATCCTGGCAGGCACCTCAACATAGATTGAGTTGTCCTCCCCCCAAAATAAGGGTCAGCTTGACTGGACCATGATTCTCAGTGGTGTGGTAGTTATGTGAGGCTCCCCATGATGTGATCTCATGTGATAAACCAAAAGGAGGTTTAAGGTGGACTGCTAACTGCAAGGTCATCAGTTCAAACCCACCAGCTGTTCCTTGGAGACCTGTACAGGGTCGCTATGAGTTGGCACCAACTCGACGACACCTAACAACAACAGTAATGCCCTTAAATCATGACAACCATGATCTGATGTAAGAGGCCTTCCCAAGGGTATGACCCCTTTAACATGTTTACCCCCACCAACTGCTCTGCCACGGATCACATGAGAGAGTCCCGGATAGAGTGGAAGAAAATATGGAACAAAACTCAAAGTCATTTAATTAAAAAAAGAAAGACTGGGCTGTATGGTCCTCGACCACCCTTCAAGTCTGGAAAGAGACTCACAAAAAAAGAAATAAAAAATAAAAGGTGAGAGATGTAAGTGAGCAGAGAAAGAGGACTCTATTGTCACCAAAAAGAGGATCTGTGAGTGGACAGAGTCCTTTGAACCTGGGGTCCCCGCCCAGTTGTTGTTAAGTGCTGTTGAGTTGGTTCCGACTCACAGTGCCCCTGAATAGGGTTTCTAAGGTTGTACATTTTTGTGGGAGCAGAATGCCTCATCTTTCTTCCACGGAGTGGTTGGTGGGCACAAACTATTGACTTTGTGGTTCACAGCCCAGCCCTGTGTGTGAAGCTCTTAGATACAGGGGAAGATTGATGTCAAGCTGCATGGAGATCTCCAAGGAACGCTGGGCCTATGATGCTGAAAGGACCCCGGAAGTGTTCTCCAGAGCCGGTCCTCTGAATTTGGACCACTACACTGTGAGAGGAGACATTTCTTGTTGTTAAAGGCGTCTGCTGTGGTCTTCCTGTTATGGTAGCTCTGGAGAGCTGAGATATATCATCACCCTGCTTCGCTGCACTGTTATGAGAACATCCCCAAGCCTTCCTCAGGGACGACATTCAACAGAGAAGTACTAGCTCATGGAGGTGTCTCCTGGAATACAAGTGACCCAGCCTGCAGTCAGGAAACAGCAGGACAGATTGCACCCAAAGCTGAGCTTACCCCCACGCCACTGCAACCATCCCCACAAAGGAGCAGTCTGAGTCTCATGGGAGTACCGCCATGTCTCTTGGACTTTATTTAGTAAAGACATCTCCTCTAGACACACTTCCAAGAGCACCATTGCATTCGGGACTCTCAAGTCTCAGGGTAGTGGGTAGGTCAGAGGGCTTCCCTGGGTCTAAGGCTTTGGGGGAGCTGGGCAGTTTGGGGGCCCCATTGTAGGACTATGTGATAGCGTCTCTGGCATTCATTTCTGCCCCCTTTGTTGTTGTTGTTGTTAAGTGCCATCGAGTCGGGTCCGACCCATAGCGACCCTGTACAGGGTTTCCGAGGGTGTAAATCTTTACGGGAGTAGAAAGCCTCATCTTTCTCCCGCGGAGCGGCTGGTAGTTTCGAACCGCTGACCTTAAGGTTCACAGCCCGATTCGTAACCCAGTTGTAAATCACCATCGGAGCAGCGTGTGCAGTACAGACGCACCATCTCTCCATCTCTGCTGTGAGCTCCGTGGTGCGTCTGTGTCACTTGGTGGCGGGTCTGGGAGTAGACTCTCCGCTGACTTGTTTCTCCAGCTGCATCGCCTCGGTTCTCTCTGCTGGGGCCGTCTTCCCTCTGGAGCCCTGCCCGTCTGCCGGCTCGCCCTCTTCCTTGTCTTCAGGAGACAGACTTTCACGTGCGTCAAAAAAGATGGCAGCTTCTTCTTGCTCTGTGGGCTGGGTTTCAACTTCCATGCTTTCCCTCTTCTTGGCAGGAGACGAGGAGAAACCTAATTTGGGAAATCGGAACCAGCCAGCTTTCTCCTGTTTTTTAGGCAGTTCTGTCTCTGACGGGGCCTCGGGCTGAGTTTGAATGGGAACAGACTCTTGGGCATCATCTTTGGGATCAGAACTTGGCTCCTCAACAGCAGAAGAAAACCCAATGTTTGGGAGCCAAAACCGGAATAGACCAGGTTTTTTACTTGCTGACTTCTCCTTTTGATTCCTGTCTTCATCTGTGGGCAGGGCAGTCACCTCTTGGCTGTCCTCAGAAGGGAACTCCAGAATTTCCGCTGGCTCCTCATCGGAATAGCTGTCAGCGTACTGAAGGTCACCGTGAGCTTTGGACTGGGACGCTTGGGGTCTCAGCATGCTGACACTCGAGGAGATGATCTCAAATGGTTCTTCCGTGTCGGGCTGCAGGTCTGCAGAAACAGGGTCTGTTCCTGGGGCGACCTGCTGGGGGGCCTCGCCTGAGCCCTCACCCTCCTGAGAGCTGGGAGTGGACTCTGTGTGGGGTTCTGGAACTTTCACCTTCAGCAAAGAAAACCCATAGGACGGTGTCTGGATATCAGATGCGGGGACCCGGGATTCTCGTACAATCTGAGTGGAAAAGGCCTCGGGTGCAGGGGGCTCGGTGGATCCTGGTGTGACCTCACTGCTTATGGTGACTGCTTGGGTTTCTACATGGACACCCTGAATGTGAACTCTCACCTTGGAGATAGGTGATACTGTACCTTCAGGCTGCTCTGAGGGAATCCCAGCGCCAGTCTTCAGGATGCTGGCCACCCACGCTCCAGGACTTTCCCCATGCAAGGTCGCCTCAGTGCCCATCCTCGGACATGGCTCCTCTCTCACGGAGGGAACAAAGATGTCGACATCTCTGCTGGGGGCACGGATGGTAAACCGAGGTACCTTCAACTTGGGGAACGTGACAGTGACCACAGAATCCTCCCAGACCCGGTCCATCTGGACCAGAGAAACCTGGGCTGGCATCTGAGTCAGTAAAGTCTTCAGTTTCAGAGGTACTTCAGCTTGTCCCTCCACGCTGGGGGGACCTCGGGCTCCGGGTCCAGGAGGGCTAGTCTCATCTGTTTCCCTTTGAGGTGCCTGACCCTCGGGTGGTCTCTCAGAGGGCATCCGGAGTGGAAGGGACCCTTCACTAGGACGATCTGTCGTGGTTGTTCTGGCTGCCGGGGAGGACAGCTTCAAGCCTGGGTCTGGGATGTTACGCTTCAGGACATCTGCATAGGACTCAGTCTCCAAGGTCGATCCATCTGCCTTGGCCTCTGTGGGCTGCGGGGACACAGCTGCCTCCAGTGTCCTCCACTCCTGGACATGGGCTTCCTGAGTCAGGGTTCCGGCTGCCTCCCCTGCGCCTTGGGGTCGGGGGCCCTGAGTTACCTGTGCTGTTGACCCACCCTTTTCCTTGGTGGACGCTCGCCAGAAGCCGGGCATGCGGAACTTGGGCACCCTAAACCAGCCTTCCTGTGAGCCTACTGTCTCCTTGGGCACCTGAGCATCTCCCTCGTGGCTCTCAACTCTGTGGGTGTCAGTGCCCAGTGGTGCCCCAGCTGGCGAGAGCACCTCTACCGTGGGAGGGGCCGTGCCGTCCCTGTGGGGTGGGTGTGCTGGGCTATCCACGGGTCCGTGGCCTGCTCCGCTCTCCCTGAGAGCCAGGTCATGTTCTGACGGTCTCACCTGTACCTGGGGCTCGGAGAGACCGTCAAGGGCCCTGCCAGCAGTTCCCCCACCCCCACTGGTCTTCCCCAGGGCTTCTGGGGTACCTGAAAGCGAAGGCTGGGCATCTGTCTGAGGTTGGTCGGACCCGCCCTTCGAGCCCTTCCCTTTGGAGAATGAAAGTTTCGGCATGGCAAAGCTAGACTTCCTCATCCTCCCCTTGGCACCATCTTTCTCGGGGGTCACATCCGCATCTGCTTCCACCTGTGGCGTGTGCACCCCAGTCTGGGCACCAAACTGACCACCGTCGGAACCCAGACTGAGTTCCGCATGCGCAGAGCTGCTCTCTAAGTCTGCTTGTGGCCCCGCCCCCTTCTTGGGAGACCTGCTGAGGGACGGAAGCTTGAACCGGGGCATTCTGAAGGGACTCCCCTTGCCCTCACGCTCACTGTCGTCAGGGGTGGCTTCCCCTAGCCCCATGGCTGCTGTGGCACCAGGCCCAGGTTGGTCCTCCAGCCCCGTGGCGGCGGGGCTTTCTGCCGGTGGCAGAGTCGTGTTGGGTGGTGGGGGGCTCTCGAGTTCTTCAGCTACAAGGCCCCTGTCCTCAGGAACGCTTGTGGTCTCCACTGAAAACACAAATCTTGGTTTATGGAATTTAGGAAAAGTCACCCTTCTGTAGGTGGTAGGAGACAGAGAGCCCACAGGGTCTAGGGGAGTTTCCATCTGGGGCGCTGAGTTGTCCTGGCTGCGGAGGGGTACATCAGGGGCCGACACAGGAACTGTCCCTGCGCACATAGTGTCCACAGGGAGCGGTGCCTGGTGCTTTGTTAGGGTCACACCGTCACTGGGACTGGACATGGAGGACCCTGAAAGCAGAGCACGAAGATAAACCTTGGTGGATTGAACATCAGGCAAGCCCACTTTGGGGACCAACGGGGACTGAACGTCACTGGCTACAATCTCCCCTTGGGACAAACCGGCTGTGATGTCTGGGGAGGCAGCAGCGACATGCAAAGAAACAGGTTCTCCAGAATCCTGAAAAAGAGCCACGTGGCCTGTAGAGGTCTTCATGGAGGGACAGAAGACTTTGGGCATCTTAAAGTGGGATTCTCTCGCTCTGCTCTTCTCTCCATCTTTATCAGCGGGCAAAGCTACGGAGATGTCCACACAGGGGTCAGGAAAGTCAGGACCACTGGCTAGGAGGTCAGTGTCCCCAGTGGCAGTGGAGACTACCGACTCGGGACCTTTGACACTTCCTTCAATCTGAGAGGATGGGGTGGAGACCCGGCTAGACTTGGTGAATGAAAGCTTGCTGAGACGTGGCATTCGAAATTGGCTGTCCTTGAGAGCCACATCTTTGTCTCCCAGGGACACGTCACCCTCTGCTTTACAATCCAGCTGCTGTATGTCTATATCCGTACTGGGCAATGGTACATCACAACCAGAGAAGACCACATCCCCCTTGAGACTATTCTCCTCCATTTGAGAGCCATCAATGTCCCCCTGGGGGAACTTCAAGTCCAACTTGGGCATCTTAGTGCCGGACATCTGGAATTTGGGGAGATGGCCTTTCATTGTGAGGTCTTTGACATTCCCCGTCAGTTCTCCACCAGACGTCTCCACCTCTGGAAGGGACACAGCCAGCTCAGCCCCAGGTAGAGTGATGTCAGCAGATGGAACTCGGATGCTAGCCTCTGTGGGTGTGAGCTGTACTCCCACAGAGGGCAGGGACGCATCCACTCCCACATTGGGTAAGTCCATGGAGGTTCCCAAGTCTTTGCTTGGAGCAGACAACCCAAAGGATGGCATCTTGAACTTGGGCATTTTGAATTTGC